GGGGGGGCGCCCCGCGCGCTCCCGCGGAGCCCGCGCCCTTCGAGCAGCCCTTGCTGCTATTTTTCATCTGTACGCCTCTGCTTTTACAAGCAATTTACACACGTACAGCCCCCTCCCCCGCCCAAAACATATACAGAGAGAGACACAAATGCACTGGAATGAGGAAGAAAGCTGAGGTTATTTTGTTGATTTTTTTTGTTTGTTTTCTTCCATAGCCATCTCTCTCCACAGCCTTTTCCGCAAGCCTAGCTCCTTTCCTCAGGGGGAAGATGCGTTGCTGTCCCTGTTGTGCTATTTCACACCCTTTCTCCAACAGATGGCATAGATCCTCACCGGTTTAAAACGATGTTTGAAATAGTTTTGCATCTTAAAAATAGATCCTAGCTATCAAAAGGATTCGTGTTTCCAGCTCGGTTTATTTATTTATTTATTTAAACATTCTTCTGCTGTTTTTCCTCATCAGCGGAGTTACATCTCAAGCCTTGTTCTGCTCGGGCTACTGTGAATCACCTGCCAGACAGGATGGACAAGCTCTGCCTAAGAGGCTGTTTCTATCTGTAATTCCTACAAAGACTAGACGTTGTATGCGTGCATAAGAGTATGTGTACGACTATCCATGTGTATGTGTGAATATATATGTCATATGATAATAGAAACACATTATATTTGCATTTATAGGGAAGTCAGAATTGAATCTAGGATTCATGCACCGTCAAAGTTAAGGTTCAGAAGCAGACCCAAATGCTGCAGTTAATTTCTTTCTGTAAAGAACTATGTTAAAATTTTAAGCCAGTGAAACCTAACTTTCTTCTTGCTTCTGTTTGCTCTGAACAGAATCTCTAAGCAGAATAGAAGTTTCTCTGCAAGAATATACTTTTGTGTGATATACAGCCAGTGAACTGCTGGATTGTTGCTGCCCGAGCCCAGCAGCCTCCAGCTATCCACTGCCAGATCCGTGAGCGGTGGAACTAAATGGGGAAGGGAATCAACACTGAGAAGTCAGAGGACCAGTAAGTACCAGGCCCGACTGATCTTTTGAAGAAGGAGATGAGTCAGAGCCAGAATTAACACAGGGCTGGAATTAACACAGACTTTTTGCTGACCAGTGTGGACCACAAAGCTCTCAACTGGACAAATCCTAGGGGAGAAAAAACATTAAGGCCTATTCTTTTCTTATCTCAGTTGTAGCAATGGAGAGCAATAGTAATGCTATGTAAAGCAGTGCAGGTATGTTGCTGTAACTGAGAAAAGAACCAGGTCACAGACCTTTATGGTTTCTGCTTTGAAAGAGAATTTTTCTTCCCAGGAGAGCAGAGACTCTCCTTTCATTTACTCATGGAAGAGCTCTCACTGAGCAAGCTATGCTCCAATAAACAACCATATTCTTTTCTCATTCTTTCATTTCATTCCTCATTTTTCATGTCAGGAAGAGACACATGTTGACCTGCAAGTTTAACCCCCTCCAAAACTGTCACCTAATTACCTCTAACCCTTTCTGTCAGAGTGGGAGTACCATACGTTCCTTGGCACATGTGCTTCCCAGTGGAGGAATGAAACAGATCTGATTTTTCACATTTAATTCAGAGTTTTTGTTACTGTGGTTGCCATGCAGTTTGTCAGCCAAGCATAATCTCCTGGCAGGAGGAGAGAGACAAGCAACATAAGCAGAGAAGTAATTCACTGTGGTTGTAGCCCTTAACTTTTGGACTCAAGCAACAGATCATCTTGTCCTACTGCCAGTGAAAATAAGCGAAGTGCAAAAGCATAACACATTAAGTCCTTCTGCCCATGAAAGCAAAATAAATTACGCGGAGCTGCCTCCCATACTAAATGCCCTTTTAGCAGTAATTTTCGGATTCGTAAGTAGGTGGAAACTACTGAGTCCTAAGAAACTCTTAAACAAGATTTTCATAGCATCAGAGAAATCGGAGCTGAAAAAAGACTTGTTAGCTTATAATAGCTATAGTCATGCAACAGTCTAGGCAGAACATGACTTCAGGAAATCTGAGTCTTCCTTCGTGAGAGCACCAAGTCCTTTCATCAGATCCCCAGCGTTCACATCCAACTGTTGTCTCTAAGCTTGGTTTAGGCACTGTAATAATTCTGAGGTCCTACAAAGTCCAGGTGTCAGAGATGATATAGCCAGGAGTCATTACTGATGGGAGACATTCCCCTGCTCCCTCGCCCCAATCTTATCTAGGGCTTATCTCCAGTCCTTAGTCACTACTGAACAGGAGAATGATATAATGAGAGGGTGGTGATAAGGAACGTGAGGAGACCAAAGTCTCTCCACCACACAACATGCGCAGTGGAGAATCTTACGCTTTGATGTCAAACAATGCAGTCAAGGAAAGACTGCTAAAAGTCAGACCCGAACATTATTCTTCATGCTGAAAGGCTACAGAGGAGTTATTCTGCCACAAACATCTGTGACCTGATGGAGACCAGAACTTTCCACGTCTTAAGGAGAGCCTCTCCCAAGACATTCACAGGTCTTTGAAATAATCCACATGGGATTAAAAAGTCAGGTTTTCATCTGTTCAGAGTACAAGGTGGGAGAGAACTCCCCAGATACATTTCATTACAATGGCTCATGTACAACAATAGCAGCACTGGATGCATTAAGAAAAAAAAGATGCAGGTTATTTACGCAGTAATTGAATTGAGTGCTAATTCTGCTAACTCTTCAGTATGCCTGAAGAGTCCCAAGTGAGAGGCACACGCAAACAGGCAAGGGCAGTAGACAGGCCCTAGAGTGTGACACAGATAAAGCAACACGGAATCTAAATAATGTCAGACATGGGTATGTAGGTTAAAAAAACAAACCTTAGTTTATTTAAATGTGTAAAGTACTTGGGAGGGAAAAAGATTACATTGTACTATGGCAATACAGACAGCACATACCATAACAAGCTCATCCATGGTAATGAATTCAGGCTACGCTTTCCAGCCTCCTAATCCTCTCTATCGCACAGCTCTTTGGGAAAGACTCACTGTCGATTTTTCTAGGGGACTCTAAGGGAGACCACAGATTAATTTCAGTGAGAACTTGCTGTCCTGTTTCTGTATGTAAAACTCAGGAGCACAGCATCATCCTCCCACCAGGAGAGAAAGCCGAAATACGTCAAAACTCCCCATGCACTGAGACCCTCTGTCATGGGTTAAGAGTAGCCTGATGGAACAGCTGATCTTAGGACAAGTTACCAGGGTGTCTGCCTTCACCTGGCTCATCACTGGGATGAGAAGCCTAACGCAGTAGAGACTGTGAGAGATATTATGATATTTATAAAATGCCATTTCCAGACACAGCTTTTTATTTCAGGTTCTTCTCAATCCAGTCTTTGAAAGGAAGAGCTTTTGTGTAGCCACTGTAGAGTTGGAGGCTGCAAGTTTTATCATAACCCCAGCTCACTAATCCCATCAGGTGCCACCTTAGCTCAGGAGATGCTTTTCCAGGCAAAGGTATGGCTGCAATCCCACCAGTCTCAGCAGGACAGATATTAGAAAAGGCTGTATGGTCCTGTTTAGCACAGAACATGCTGTCAGTGATGCTGACCTGTATCCCATTATCCTCATACTGTTGCTCACACAACAGTGAGTCCATCATCCGAACAACTCCCATGCGGATTGTGTCGTTCTTGTATCCGGGATCTTTAACGTCAGACAATACCTTCCAGCCAGTAACCATTATTTTTAAATCCTCCATGGATGAAGTAAAGTCATGAGAAGATGCCAAGCAAATGGGTTGAACACGACTGCTGATTCTGGCTTTGTCCAAGAGTTTTATGATAGCTATGTCAGAATCAAGTAATATAGGGTCATAATTGGGATGCACTATGATGGCAGAAATCTGGGGAGGAACCAGAGTAGGAAGAATTGTAGGGTTAATAGCAGTGGAAAATCAGCAATACTCTTTCCACATTTCTACAATGTATTTTAGCTTATTTTGCAGTCTTCTCCTCCCCGCTTTACTCCCAAAATGTTCTTTCACCGCAGGGCTCACTCAAATGACTGCTTCCAAATCAAAAACATGCAAAAAGATCAAGCATCTTCCCTTAGGGGCTTTTTTTTTTTTTGGCTTGGGTTTCAGGCCAGTTTTTATTGCGTGAAACCCCTCTTAATGAAATGCCATCAAAGATATCTTCACCAAAGTGGGGAGTTCAAGATTTTCCACCGTTTACTGAAAAGATTTTGGCTGCCATGTCATCTTCGGTCTGTAGAATTAGAATTTTGGGGGGGAGAGAGGTTTTGAATTAAAATGTCTTCTTCTTTTCATACTTCACCTATCTTCCACCCCCGCAAAAGAACAGTAGCAATACAGAACAGAATACTGGGGCCAAACTTTACTGCTAGTTACCGTGATGAAACACTACAAGAAGAGATAGGATTCTTATAAGGAATGACTGTCAAAAAATAATACATATATGAA